CCTTGCCGGCCAAGAGGACCCCCTGAGGGCCGTGTCGGCAGCTGAAGACGGCGAAGGTTACCCGGGTGACCAACAGTCGTATCAGCATCGGATATGACGAGCGCCATCGGGCTGCAACGACGGCGGACTTGCATAGCTCCTTGGCCCACGACATTGGGCACGTCGTTCAGACCCATTGCCCGATGCAATGGAAGTCTTGGAAGGTCATACCTGACGAGATCAAGATGCAAGTTCGCGGCCAGTTGTCGGTATTTTTCCTATCTTTTAATTATTTTTCTTTCAAACTTTATATATTTCTATTACTTAATGTATGTAATCAATTTATTGCAGACGAACTACGACTTAGAGGACATCAACGAGGAGACTTTGGCGTACGTCAACAGACTCTTCGGTGAGAGGTACAAGCAGTGGAAGAGCGACTTGCACCACCATTTCCAGGCGTTTGATGATCCGGAAGTCGCTCTTCAGGAGGGTTGCCCGAAGGAGCTTGAGGGGCGGGAGGATAGTTGGGCGTGGCTCTGCGCTCATTTTCAGGCGCCCGATTATGTGGTATTTTTTTAATAATATTTGTTTAATGTTTATTTTATTTTTTATATCTCATTATTATTTAATTTATTTATAGTTCAATTCTTACGTTTTATTTTTTGTATAACAGAATAAAGCCCAAGTGAATAAGGGCAATAGGAAGAAGAAGACTCTTCTTCACCATTCCGGCTCCAGGCCCTTCTCATATAGGATGGATGCACGGCGTCGGGTAAGAATAATATAATTTATATTTAATTTTTAATACGTCATTATTATTAATTTCTTTTGTTCATACTAATATTTTTCTTCTCTTGTTCAATTAAGGGGGGGTCGAAATTCCCAGAGATCGACGTCTTTGGTGACGTTTATGTTCGACCTGGGAATGAGTTGGCCGAGTCCCTTCATGTAAGTATTATGTATTTTTAATTCTTATGTTACACTTTCAATTTATATGCATTTTTGAATTTATATTTTATGTAATGTTAAACAGACGACGATGGTGGAGAGGAGCCAGTTGGTTCTTCAAGAGTCCGCCTCCCAACTTCCTCCCGAGACTCCGATCGAGTCTGTGGATCCTCCGCATGATGCTGGATTTCAGATTTTGACGCAGACGTTGGATCAGACTCTCGGGAGGAGGCCGGGAACGTATTGTAGGGGGATGGGGAATGCCCGACAGAGGGAACCTCGACCGCGGTCATCGTCGCAGGCAAACAGTCAGGTGACTGTTTTGACATCGCGGGTTGCCGAGCTTGAGGGTCAGATGTCGGTGATTCTGCAGTCGCTCGCGCGGTCCGGGATTCCAATCCCGAATTTTGGTGCGTCGACCTCC